CAGTTTGATAGTAGAGAGCAAAGAAAAAAAGAAAAAGAAAACAGAATCGACAACCGTCTCTGACAGCTACCAGAACACTCGGTGTAAACTAAATGCACTGTCATAATTAATACTAAAATAACACCAAAAGTATACCAATAAATAAAGAATAAGGGTATAGTTACGTCTGAGTTTTGATTCCGCGGTCAAAAGCCTTGATGGAATTGGATTTTGCTTGCACACTGTAAGGTTACAGTATGTCTACTTCAAAGAAGCACTGAGACGACGCTTACACGGGCCGAAAGAAGACTGGTTTGGACATTCTTAAGTTATTCTTTCATGTAAGCCTAACTAAAATTTAACTGAAATCAAATACTTTCAAACTTTGGTGTTTTTTTTAATGGCACAGCCCACGTTTCAGAAATGGCCGATGAGAGTGAAGTTGTGGCTGAAATGGCACAGAAAGCCTTTGCTTCATCTTCCAACTACGAGAATGTTCGTGCCAATTATTCTCGCGAGGCAGTAGAGTTCTTTTTGAGCAAACTTGGTGTGAACTGGGACAACCATGACAAAGCTGCAGAGAACCAAACAGATCGCCCTTTTACTATCTTAGAGGTCGGTTGTGGCACGGGAAAATTTACTCGCGTCATGTTAGAAGCGTTGAAAGACAAGAACGTGAGAGTGATTGCAAGTGAGCCACTGCAAAGCATGTGTGAGCAGTTAAAACTTATGGTGCCTGATACGGAAATTATCCAATGCCCAGCTGAGAATATACGTAAGCTGCTTAAAACTCTATGTTTTGTGCACAAAAACGATATCTTACATGTCATTTCATCTCTTTCGAATTGCTTGCCACCTTCTCCATTTTTTTTTTATACTATGCCCTTGCAGGGCCTCCAAGGCCTCTGCTAGCAGGGAATTACAGGCCTTTCCCTAACGTGTATTATTAAAATTGTATCATTGGATAATGCAATTCTACAGCTCTGATTAGCTTAGCCATCATGGTATATGAGCCATTAGTAAAATCCAACTAGTGGTGTATTATCAATGCTCCGTTCTGATTGGTTGAGCTACTACTAGGCTATTCAGTCGAAGCCTGCTATTTTGAACTCGGTTAATTCGAAGTCCCCGCTATTTCGAAGGAAGATCGAATTCCCTTGGATTTACCCTTCCCCTTTACGCTTCCCCGGTTATTTCGAAACCCCACTATTTCGAACTTTTTTCCATTTCCCTTGGGACTTCGAAATAGCGGGGTTCGACTGTATGTTATAGCCCACTAGTAGCGAAAAGTGCGGGCTTTTTGGTGGCAAAAAAGGATTAAAGTCTAGCTTTTACCTAGCTAAATCTTTTTTTATTCTTAATATTTTTGACCAACTAGTTGGATTTTACTAGAACAATATTATTATTCCTCTTGCCCTCATGGCCTCTGAGTCAATAGCCCATTTGGCCGAGCTATTGACTCAGAGCCCATTCAGGCTCGAGGAATAATTGTTAATTATACCATACTCTCCAAATATGGTAATTGTACACATCTGCTCAAAAATTAAAAATAACCTGAAAATCAGTTGTTTTTACAAATAAAGTCGGGAAAAATTCCTCAATAAAAAAGTATTAAGCTGATTAACAACCTACTTGGCCTGAATTTCCAATAACTACCCTAAAATACAGGAACCTATTTCACCGTCACCTTCCCATTTCCTTCTCTCTAAGAGAGGAGATGGGAACAATACTTTTGTGGTCTATATTTGATAAGGACCAATCATTGTGGGCCTTTACAAATTAATACATGGTTTGCACAGTCTTGAAGTCATGAATTTTTGGGGAAGTCCTTGAAAAGTCCTTCTTACTTATTTAATAGAATATTTAAGAAGTTAACCTGATACGTTGTATATACCTCCAGTTGTAATTTTAGTCTTTTTTTCTAGTAACAAAAGCCCTGTGCTTGAGTTTGTGTGAGGGGTTTTTCTTACTGTGTGTTGTACTTGCATTTCTTTTCTTTTCCTTTTTTCTTAATGTGTAATTTAATAACGCCTTTATTTATAATTTTTATAGCTATTTGC